GAGCGAAAGTAGTCTCGTACTCAGACCTTTCATGGCCAACTTATAGTTACACCATAGGATCTGGGTACGAGATTAGACCGGGCAAATTGGAAGCAGGGGGGAGGGGGGAGTAAAAGTAGTCTCGTATTCAGATCTTTAATGGCCAAGTTACACCGTGGGATCTGGATACGAGATTAGGGCGGTAGAACATCAGAGATGCTGTTCTAACGAAACTTCCCAACTAATTTTGGGCGCTTTAGTTACTATTATTAAGTCATGTCCAATAAATTCCATTTTCCGGCCATGAGAACTCAAAAAGAAAAATAAATACATAAATAAATAACAGTTATAAGAAATAAAATAAGAGGTAATATAGAACTACCTTGAGGGAACAATCTTTGAAAATCAAGGATTTATTCCATGGCCGGAAGGCCACAGAATAAATAGAATTGAATCTTCTGCGTCGTGTCGCGTTTTACGTCTTTCTGTCAGCCAATCAGAACACAAAAGTAACTTTTAATCTCTCTCATTCTTGGGCGAGGGTCCGATGTGGTATACATTGCAAGCGGGCAATATTTGCGACAGTTACTGGTGGACGAATCTTCTCTACATCAATCTCGCGGAATTAGCCATAACCTTCTGTTACAACTTCCACGTTAATATTTCATGAATATTCGGACTCAATCGACCAAGGAACGAGTCTTATTCGCTAGGGAGGTGTGATTTAGAATACTACATTTGATAAATTTGTAGTTTGTTTCGTTCGGTCCCGAAATTTCACTGCAGTTATTTTAGTTTGTTAGAACAATATATATTGAATCGTCTGCAAACGTCCACCACGTAATACTTAATAAACTCTTGATGACAAGTATTGATATTTGTTTTATTACAATATTTTCATTACGTATTCATCGTTTGACATGACTAGTGGTAATTTACCAATGAGTTGTTTCCTTTCACTGTCAAGCCCTGGATAAATAACATCTTTCAATTGATCATCCAAAAAACGAAGACAATAAATATACTAGCCCAACAACAGTGCGTCAGAGCAACAAAGGAAACCGTTTTCGACGATGCAATATTCAGTATTGTGCGTCTATTTTCCTTGCGGTCTTCGAGGGATTAAGCCGAAGTTTTAGCGTGTACACGCGGCTGATTTATCGCGGTTTTCTTTATGTAAGGATCGAGATTTCATCATTTAATGTCCCAAATGAAAGTAATTCCAATCAAGAGACTTCATTACTGCTCCTTAAATTACGATAATCGGACAGAGAGCTTAAATTAGCGACGACTTTCATTAACGCAAATGATAGGTGTTTCGCTTTTCATATTGAAATGCGCCTCAAAACAATATTTGCCAACGTAGACAAATTACATTTCAGAGCGGAATTAATATGCTTTGAACTCGTTTTTGAAGTTTGTGAATTCTAATTATGGTCTTCGTATCGAGGGAAGTAGTAAGAGTCACGATTTTCCGCAATTTTATGATTCACTTCGGTCAAGAATGGAATCTTGTGGCAGGTGAAACTAGGAGCGCACGCTGAATCATTACAAGGCTACTTCCACTTCCAATCTACACTGGGATAAAACTCTTGAAATAGCGAGTAAAAAACATCCGGTAGCAAAAGTGTTTTGCTTCGAAAACCGATTTGTTTTCCGCGCGCAGAGACATCAGTTACAGAGGAGCTATAGTTGGACATCATTCTCTGCTCTACAGATACTGTCTATTCCTGAGCAACGAAAGCCTTTGATCTGAAATTTGTGGTCACTACGAACTGGCACATAATATTTCACAATATGTTATTTATTTGTACTGTTATAGTCTAGATGCCAGCGTAAGTCTCCGCTGTCAAAGAACGACGTATCCGAAGATATAAACCCCGCCATCAAGGGAATAAAAGACAACAGTGGAATCGTGAGATATCAATGAGTAACTGTTGAGATTGCGGACAAAATAATCGTTAAAATGGAAGCATCAGTAACTGAAGGAAGTGTTAACAACAAAGAAGCGTTTAAAAGTTGTGGAAGGACAGGAAGACGTGGAGCATGCTTGGATACAGATATTGCGCGTGATAAACTACAAGAAATCATTCATAATGTTGAAAAAGCTTCCTTGGACGATGATGCCTCAGGGAGCACGCAAGCGAAACAAGGCGGTAGTAAATCTTAGCAAAGTTATCAGAAAGATTTACAAAAGTTTTCTCCGGAAAAATCATAAAAAAAACAAAAACCGCTGCGCTTTACTATTCCGCCTCCTTATCCACTGGGAGGCAATTTGTTTCAGAGTTTAACGACAGGTTGGTGTTTAAAATAGATTGTTTGAATCAAAGGAAGTTTTTTTTTAACTATCTGCTTCATGGATCACGTCGTTTGAAAATTTCCACTTATTTATTCATATTGTACATGTGACATGAAAGTGTTCAGGCTTAAATCCCACGCAAAGTAAACGTGTGTAAACAAAAATTATTGCTGGGTCGTAACCATTATACCAAACTTTCTCAGAGTTGAAAACGTATAAATATCGCATTCCATCGTCGATGGCTGTGTATTAAGAGGCTTAAATCTTAAAGAATATTAATTCGTTTTCTATGAACAATTTTTTTTCAGAATTACGATTTTTTACTTTTAAATATTACAGGTTTCCAAACAAAGTGTTTTTTGCCAGCAGTTTTTGCTATTGTATTAATCTTTCGTGTTTATTTCTTATTGCATTACTATTCGTGAAATTTAAATAAATGTTTACCTTTTTATAATGATCGAGAATTGTTGATTGAAAAAACTATTGACTTTCATTGTAGATTTGTTCTAAACAAGTTTTCAGAGCAGCAGGTGGAAATAGACCCTAATTTCATTGCTGGATATGAATATAACTAAAATTTAATACCTTTTTCTTATGTCTAAACTCAGTTATTTGCGGGCAAAATAATTCTGAAGCGAGGGGGAAAAAAAACAGGAACTTCTATCTTTTTCCTTTTTCCACGGCAGTTTTATCGTAGTTCGCGCTGATTTCATGTGGTTGATATGTTCTATTTCAGAAACTTCCTACCCTGCACTCACCGATATCAGATTCAAATTTAAATGGTGAGCAGTAAGCCAAGATGCGATTTGACGGTTGCTATTTTTTCGTTGCATAAAACGTGATAATGTACTTTCCAATACTAGCTTACAAACGATTTCAGACGAAGTCACTTCGATCGCTAACTCCTAAAATATTCAGATGAACTTGTTTTTAGAGGTCCTATATTTCCAAACCTTTGACCAGTCAAAAATCAAACCGTTCATTGACTAGTCAATCATCAGAAGAAAATCATCAATATCAAGCCATATTTGTTAATAATGCTACCATTTGACTTTACTTTCAAACAATAAAAAAATTCATTAATTTTCTAACGTTGTTCAACTTGTTTCACGACAAAAAAACGAAAAGGATGCTACAATATAATATTAATTTATAAAAAAATGTACGCTTAAGTTTTCTAAAGATGCTATCAAAATGAATAGGCAACTAAACGATTCAAGGCGATCTTAGCTACGAAATGCACACGACTATCTAATTTTGACATCTCTGATAGATTAGAAAACAAGAATTGAACGCACTCAGTTCACCAATCTTTGATTACTAATACTTTATAATTTTCTTATACCGTATCACGAGTCTGATCACAGTCAACTTAATTTGTTTCCTTCTTCATAAAATTATATCGATAGAAATACACTATTATTGTAGCTTTAAACAAAAAAAAAGCTAAACGAAACAAACAAAAATCAAAGCCGTTCATTTACGTAAGTTGTTTACCTTTTACCTACGGTGGAACAGCTTACTCGCAAGTTGTCTGAATTCCCGCATTATAAATTATTATTTTAGTGCTGTTCATTTGTTGTAGAACTTTTGCAAAGTTTACAAAACGTTTCAAAGGCTGTCACTGTCCGTTAAGACACGTTGGAACTCCGTTGAAAACCACAACTGATTGTCACTCCTCAACAACGAAAGCTTTTGATGTGGAATTTGTGGTTACTACGCGCTGGCTCATAATATTTCACAAGGAATCATTTATTGGTACTACAGTGGAATCGTATTTTTTTTTCAAGGTCATTTTCATGCATAAGACACAGCATATTTCATGCATCGGGTACTCCACACTTTATGTAACGATGTCGCGACAACTTCAGTTATGATACTTTGAGAATCTTGAAAAGTGAAACCTGTTTATCAGGAGATAAAAAGAAAAGTAGGACAGGATAATTCTGGTGAAACAAACGTTTTAGAGGAAAATGATATCTTTTCTCCACTTTCTTGGCCGGGGAGGAAGAGAATCAGTGAGCTTGTAGCGCTGTTTTATAATGAGATCTCTGTAGATGCAACATGGCGGTTGAGTACGAGAAATGCTGAGATTTTGTTTTATACTCAGAGTCAGTTTAAACAGTTTTTCATTGAAGTGGGACCTCTGCCTCAGGTGTGTGTAACTATAAGAGGTGTAATCCGTAAGGAAAACTCATAGATGCCTTGGAAAATTTACCTCTTTGATGGAGCTATGAACCAGTCCAAGGTCAACCCTTAGTCAACGGCTGTAAAAAAAATTAATATTTTTAGCTTAAAACTCGGTGTTCTCGTATCTCTGGTGTATCATTTGACACAGGAAAAAGAAAGCTAAAATCGAAATAAGGGGAAAAAATCAGTTGACTCGAACTTGACACGTGACTCGAACTTGACACGTGACTCGAACTCGGTCGGGCTCGAACTTGACTCGTGACTCGAACTCGGTCGGGTTCGAACTTGACTCGTGACTTGAACTCAGTCGGGCTCGAACTAGACTCGTGACTCAAACTCAGTCGGGCTCGAACTTGACTCGTGATACGATATAACTTATTGTCATAACCTTCCATGTATTTTTTTTCAGTATGAAGCTGGAAATCTACTACTTAGTGACTAGAATATAATTATTCCTATTTTACCCTTTCACTCCAAATATGTCATTGGTAACTCTCCCTACTGTTTACCATACATTTCTTAAGATGTAAGATCGGAGAATTTGGTATTGGATCAACTACTAATCCACTTATTGATATTTTCCTTCATCTCATCTTTTGAATTGTTTGTTTGATATTGTATTATATAAAGAGAAATTCTGTCCTGATCACTCATGGAACAGAACACTGTCATTCTTGATTCCGCATTTCGCATCCTCTCTGTGCAAAATTTCACTCAAGACCAGCGCGCGCACATTTTTACCATGTCTCTCAATAGCTAGCATATCAAATTAGAAAAAAAATAGAGAATAATACAATCAAAACCAGAAATTTGATTTGAACATCAGCTGCCTCGGTAAAATCATGACCTCCGACTGCTATTGATCTATAGCAAGAAATTATAATCTATTGTTTACAATAATCTGCTGTTTAACAAAACCACACCTACCCGTCCCAGCTTTAAATTTTATTCCGCGAGCTAGTGTTGTCGTCAGAAGCTCGATTAATGACTTCATAAAGCACAGATGAAATCAAAACGAGATTGTGGTTCGTGTCTTACTGTGTGCGTGAAAAAAAATTTAAAAACAAAAACAGCCATGAATTTTGCGCCTTTGATTCAGCGAAGTCCTTCTAAGAGAGGTGACACAACTTTCAGAGCGAGGTAAATTCTTATCTATCTTGATTCGACTTTTTTTTAGCTCATCTCGTAATCATGAATTTTCCATCGCCTTATAGAGTGCACTTTTCTTCGGACTCTTTGATTGCCGCGACAAGTGGTTTTAACGGTTTCAGGGGATTCTTAAACTTAGCACTTTTGCTGTTGGTGAGTAATTTAAAAAGAATTACGTAGGAAATTTGACACGGAATTGTGTTAAAAAATCTGAAAAATTACTCATAAAGCATCTTACAACATTTTTAAGTTTAGCACGGCAAGGGGCACCGGTTGAGTTTTTTACCTTCAGCAAGAGCGTTACTAGGGGTGCCCCTTACCTTCCGCCGTGCGTGGTGTGTTTCTTTATGTTGCTCTGCAATGCATTTTTTTTAAAGGATCAAACTTTATTAAACGAAACTGAACTTACTCCGAATTACACTTTACTCCGAATGCAAGAAACTTAATCATCATGCTCGAATACCACAGGATAATTAGTTTTGGCGACATTCAACATCTACAATACAAGTTCATTAGCGGCTAATTCTTTGTGGCAATTCCCGTATTGTAAACTGATGATTTTTCTTTCAAGTCAACAACAAACAAAGCTTGTGATTCGGGTTGCGAAAAAAAAGCGATTTTGAAGAACCTGCTGAAGTCTTTTTCCAGGGCTAGATGCTATATTCAGCCCGAACTTCTCGTGGAATAAACTTGAGCCCGCTGATAGACAGGGTGGCGCGGGGATATAGGCCACCTCACTTAAGGCGCTCGGAAATTAATAACCGTGGCTCCCACTTTTAAAGATATTTCTGAGTTTCCTACGCGACCCGTGAAAGTGTTGTGAAATTGCAGTATTATTTTTTGACGATAAAGAAGGTAAACTCATGGCAATATCAGACAAAGAGCTCGAGTCCTCAATTATTTTAGGTGCGAAGATGATAAAGTCTAAATTTCATTTAGTTATCCATGAAGTTGATATTCCGATTGGATAGTGAACAAGTTCGCAAGTTGTGTTGGTATCGTAACTAATTCAGGCTTTCGGTTAGCCTACCACCTTTAGTTTGTCACTCCACCGTTCTGATCTTTCGTGTGTCTCTACTGGCTAAGAGCTTTAAGAGCCTCCCATAAGCTGGTGATTCTAATGTGATCGTTCATGTCATGTTCCTCTTGTATTGACAATTTTTCACCGAAGTGAAGGTAAATAGTTGTGCGCTTTCCGGCTTGGTAACAGAGCCGCTGTAACTGTCACCGTCACTGAGGCGAATAATTGTTTTAGTATATAACACACAGATATAAAAAAAATGGCTTATTTATTTCAATATACCGAAAAATTGTTGAAATGAAACTCTTTACGTCTCATCGACTGCTCGGAGGCGAATAATACTTGCTACACACTTCCGAACTTGTCAAACAGCGCACGGAAAGCACTATTCACCTGCGTGGTATATATTACTCGAAGGTAGTGACAGTCCAGTTAATGCAGAAACCGACAAAGAGTGCTTTTGTTAAAAAGATTGTGAGGACGCTATTTTGCATTACGGCGCAAGCGTACCTAAGAGCGCCTTCAGTTTCGTGGAGAGGGACTGGGACGAAGCACTTAAATAACAACTAGCTTTGATCGAGGGGAATGGGGAAGAGACCCACTATGAATTACTTAGTCTTTCAGATGTCATATTTCCAGGGGTTGATACAGTTGCTATTTATATTACTTATTCGTTTGGACTTGTCGATCCGGCCGTGCAAAGGGTCATGCCCCCACTCTCATTTGACCAGCGGTTGGTACTGGAGTTCTGTGTGGAGAAGGAACGTCCTAACCCTGGTTGTGTCATCAGGCAAACATTTTTTATCGACAGAGGAATTTAAAATTAAAAGATTCGTACCAAAATTGACAAAAATTTATGTAAAAACAAAACTTCGCCGACCACTACTTGTGATTTTTGATAATAGCAAAAGTCGTACCATCCCTACCCCTAGAGGACAAACAGTCGGGTTGAACGTGCAACGTGTCACGTGCACGATTGTTGACATCACGATTATATGTTCAAAGGCCGTTCGTCATGTTAGTTTGGAGACCGAAAGCGAAGTAGAAAGAAGTTATTTTTAAGTCTCGATGACATCTTCCACAACGAGGAAGCGATCAACGCCCAAAAGGGCCGAAAACACCACAGAGGCGAAGGCATCAACGAAATCTCAAGCAAAAGAATCGGATTATGGAAAACGGTAAGTGTCCACTCGTCGTTCCCCGATTAAGTCGAGTCTTTCGGGACGAATAATTCCTTCTTTTAAAATGGACGCTTTCAGAGCTGCTCTTCTATCACTTTCCAGGGTTCACGAGAAGGAAGAATCTCTTTTAACATCGACCAGTGGGTTTGACAACTACAGAGGACTAATAAACTTATGTCTTATTCTCTTGGTAAGGGATCACATTTCGAGGAATAAAGTCTATTCATTTATTTGCGGTATTTACTCCTTCAGACAGTAATTGCATCAGCAATAACGAGAAGTAGACAAAAAAGAATGGTGGAATAATGTGCAACGAAGGGAAAAAGAATTATATGCTTATTTCCTTGGAATACACATGTATACACTTCCCGATTTCTTTTCCATCCAAATTATTTTCGCATGCTGCAGGTTGATTGAGGTCAGATCACCTAACTGGTTTCTATCATATCCTGGGCTAAAGTCTCGGTTTTTTGACAAATCATTCAATATTTGCCGTTCATTTTGTTCTCATAACTTCTCACAAAGTCCTTTTATTGATAAGATCATTGGAACTTTTGCCAGGAGTAACAGGTCTTTATTTACTTACCTCGTTTGTTCATGGAAGTAAAGGAAATGAAATGTTTCGTGGACTTCGCGAAAAGCCATTTTTTATTCAGGCAGCAAGATTCAGATTGTGGCTGATTGGTTAAAATAACTTTTCTCTGACATCTGTTTTGAATTTGATAAACTTACGAAAAGGAAGTGCTATTTTAGAGTGATCTCCCGGAATAATTGATCCGTTTTACCTCAAAGATCTTTAAATTAATTATTTTAATAGAATATTGGCCATGTATTTTATTTGTCAGTTTTGCATGATAATCACATAGACACATGAAGACATGCAAGAAATATACATATTTTTAATTCGCATAATCTGTCTGCCTGACTGAATGTTGAGATCGTTATGAGTATTGACCAAATGCCAACTGGGGAGTCAAAGAGGGTATGGAGTACTTTCTTCATCAAATTTTGAAGGATTAAAACAATAAATCACAAACAAAAAAAAGAGGCTAAGAAACATTACAGAAAGGTAGTCAGAAAAAGGGACAAAATGCTAGTAACAATCCTGAAAGATAATCTGGGTATCCTGTGGTCAATGAATTTAAGTGAGTGAAACTGGAGAGAAAAGGACTTTTGAGCAGGGAATGGATACAAAAATCCATGTGAATACAAGAGGAACGTAACAATAGAATATCACATGGTCACTTTGTATTTACTCTTGTTTAGTTGACATCATTTTCATTGTTCATTAGAGTCAGTGCGTTCTTTTTTCATTAAGGTGAAAATTAAAAGTCAGTCTTCATAAATACTCGCAAGTAGATGTAATTAATGTGCAATAACTGCACAGTACTTTCATTACTTGGCAAATTGTCCTGGAAAAATAACCAACTGTCTTTCTAGACTTCTCCACCCAAAATTATATGAAATTTTTAAAGTGAAAACTTTTCCAACTCTATTTAAATGGAGGTGGTTTGAGTTCTAGAGTATGAATATTGCTGAGGCAAAACTGCAATATTTTCTCAGACAAAGCCAACACAGAAAATTTTTTCCTCAACTTTACTCTTTGACCCCTTTCTGATTGACTAGCATCTAATTTTTCAGTACAATATCATCCCTGTTTTCACACTTCAAAGTCACAAGAATAAGGTAATGTCCACCAACCATAGGAGCTATTGATTGTTAGAAAATTCTTGTTTTCAGTGTCTTAGTTAATGTAAGGACAACAGTATAGGAAATATGCATCTTGACCTTAGGATGTAAAGAGGTAAACATAGTCAACTCTAAGCTGCCCCCTTCCCCCTCCCTTTCTTTCCTGGCAGCCTCATGGCCATCACTGTCCTGGTGTACACTAAAAGTTAATTTATTTTGTTGCAGGTGCTCTCCAATTTCAGGGTAGCACTTGATAATTTACTGAAGTAAGTTTGATTTCTCACAGAACTTCTTTCATGTGTAAATGGTATTTATATGTTTCATGATGTAGTCTTTTCCAATGTTGATTGCAGTATTTTGGCTATATACTGCTAGTCTTGGTCTCCACCTATCAAGTATGGTTCTGTACAGCACTTGGTTGTTTTTAAAAGTTACAATTGGTGTATTTTGAGTTTTGTTGGTCTGATGATGTGTTTGCTTATGTGATATGTTCACTGTAAAGGCCCATATAAACCAGTACTCTATTATACAGTTATCTGATATTGAGGAGTTAATGTTTATCCTTACATGTAATGTATTTCCTTTGTAGGTATGGCTTGCTGATAGATCCTCTTCAAGTAATAACTATCTTCTTGGAGGATCCATACCACTGGCCATCAGCATCACTTGTGATCTGTACGTGAATGTCTTAAATTATCTGCAAAATTTATCTTTAATCTATTTGATTAAGTATACTGGTCCCTTCATCTGGGACTGTGGGAGAGGAGGGTGGGTGATTAAACATAGAGGTTTACTCTAATTACAGGTAGCTTGTTGAGGGAATGGAGGGTGGAAGATCTGTTGTTTTGGTTGTTGCTTGGCTTAATTAACAGCAACTTTTTTGTTGTTGTATTGTTTTTCAGTTTCAAATGTGCTTATTCAGTTGACGTTTGTCATTGAGAAGCTTTTGGCTGCAGTAAGTATCACTTCCACCACTTGCTAGAGCAAGTGGTGCAAACAATTGTGTGTTATTTGCAGTGTTAAAGGGAAAGCCGCATTTTGTTAGTTTTACGTAGATGTGTTTTTGGTTTGTTCCAAGAATTTTTAAGGCTATTTTTAGGGGCTTGTAATTAGGTACTTGGTAAAAAATGGCTATTAAAACACTTCAGTGTCAGAGAAAGAAAAACTAGCCCTAATGTTTGATGCAGTATAATTATCTCTTTTTTTATTATAAAATTTAAATATTTTCTGTGGCTGAAATCATTGATTTGGTACTCTTCTATTTTTTTTTTTTACACAGGGCAAAATTTCTGAGAGGATTGGGCGGATATCCCATATGTTTTTGCTGCTGTTAATGTTATTTGTGCCATGTACAGTGATTTTGGTTTATCTTCCACCACCATGTATGTATTGAGAAAATATCCATGTATTTTACACATGCACAAATGAATGGTTTCTCTTAATTGAGCAGACACAATTGTTTACAGTGTGCTGTTTATCCTAATCTAACAAGAAGCATTTTGTTCGAAGATAAAAACAGTCTACCCCTTTGAAATGCGAGTGGCAATATTGCAGCCCTTCTTCTCTGTAACATTCACTTCTCTGCAATGCATGGCTGCCTTTCTCTGTATCATAATGTAGTTATTGTTAAGAATTTTGATGATTAGTCATTAAATGAACTGAAATTTGAGTTTGATTGTTTTTTCAGTACTCATGTATGTTATAATTTTTTCTATTTCATAGGGGCAGCTAACATTGCTGTCTTTTGGTATACCATTGTCTGGTTGAAACTTATCAGCTATGTCAGTGTTAACCTCTGGTACAGGTTGGGATTGATGAAACATGAAGAGAAAGGTAAGGCAAATGCATGAGCATTAGAAATCTGGTTATCACAATCTTCCACTGGTTTGCAGTTAGATCTCAAGAAATAAGCTTAAATGTCCACCTTCCTGTTTTACTTTTAAGCCTTGTAAAGTGTAGAGGTCTTAACCCTTTGAGCCCTAAGAGTGACGAGAATTTAATTTCTCCTTACAATGTCAATGCTGAGTCAAGCATAAAGATCATGAGAATTAAGGAAATGTACAAAGAACAGTGTGGAGAACAGAATAGAGATAAGGGAGATGAGACGACTAAGAGAGACGAGAATTTAATTTCTCCTCACAATGTCACTGC